CCTCGGCCGGATGCTGAATGAGAACGTCTCGATGTGGTTCAGTCGAGAACCGCACGTCCGCATATTCTGTGCATTTAGGAATACGTCCGTATTTTTTTTTAAACAGTAGCCTCGGCCTGCCCTCTTTTATGCGTAGTGGGCGCGCGAACCCCTCCCACAAATCCCGGCTAACAAGTTAGCATATATATATATACACACACATATACACATATACACATACATACATACATACATACACATATACATATATACATACTATATATTTATATTTACTGTTGGGGGGGCTACGGTGAAATATCTGGGGTCTAAACAGACCCCTGACATTTCCCTTTTGAAATAGAAAAAGAAATTGAGGACACAGAGTCCTCAATTTCTTTTTCTGCAGCCTCAGCACTCAATAAATGGGGAGTAGCACTCAGTAAATATTTTACTATCAGCAGTTTCTGAATGAATGGGAAGCCTCTGTACTATCATCCAGTTTCTGAATGGGGCCTCTGTATTGAGTACTACTCCCCATTCAGAAATGTATGAATGAACAGGAAGTGATGTAAATCACATCCTGTTCATTCTTACAAGCGGGGGAGAGCAGCGGGGATTCATGCATGGAGTCCCAGATCCCTGCCTGGAGCAGCTCCAGGCAGGTATCAGCAGCTGAACATGCCGGCGGCTATCGGCAGCGGTGCGTGTGGGGGTGGGGCCGCCCGGAATTTTAGTTAGTAGCTGTCATCAGCGGCTTGTGAGCCGCTGATGACAGCTATTATTTTAAAGGGGACAGTCTGGGGAACATTTGTGATATAAGTTCATGGTCGCTAAAGCGACCTTGAGCTTATAGCAGAACTGTAAATGCCAGCGCCGTGAGGCATACTGACCTGGCCAGCTGGGAACAGTTTTGTCCCACTGTATGCCACTGTACGTCCCCCCCTATAAAGCATGGTTTAATTTGCTAAAAACACGGGGGAAAAATTCCTTCCTGATCCCATAAGGCAATCGGATATTCCCTGGATCAACAATCTCTGGTGCTTAATATACCTATAAAAACTAAATATTCAGTAATATTCTGTGCATTTAGGAATACGTCCGTATTTTTTTTTAAACAGTTAACTGTGCTAGCTAGATCTAGCTCCCGGCGGGAATCTGTTCCACATTTTCACAGATCTAACTGTGAAGAATCCTTTTGCATGCAAAAGGTTAAACCTTTTTTCCTCAAGATGCAAAAAGTGCCTCCTTGTCCTTTGCAGTGATCTTAAAATGAATAATTTGGCACCAAGGTCACTATATGGACCATTTATGTATTTATACATAGCGATCATGTCCCCTTTTAATCGCCTATTTTCTAGAGAGAACAAATTCAGTGCAGTTAATCTTTCCTCATAGCTGTGCTCCTCCATGCCTCTTATGAGTTTAGTCGCCCTTCGCTGCACTTTCTCCAGTTCCACAACATCCTTTTTGTGAACTGGTGCCCAAAACTGAACTGCATATTCCAGATGAGGTCTTACTAATGCTTTGTACAGGGGCATGATTATGTCTCCATCTCTGGAGTCTATACCCCTTTTAATACAAGAAAGTATTTTGCTTGCTTTAGAAACTGCTGCTTGACAGTCTATGGTCTAGCAGAATACCCAGATCTTTCCCCATCATGGACTCCCCCAAACATAGTTCCCCAAGAATGTAAGAGGCATGCATGCTTTTAGTCCCCAAGTGCATAAGTTTACATTTATCAACATTAAACCTCATTTGCCAAATAGATGCCAAATCAAACAGTGCATTCACATCTGCTTGTAAGTTAGAGACATCCTGTAAGGACTGTATTCGACTACAAAACTTGGCATCGTTTACAAACACAGAAATAGTACTTTTAATCCGCAACTCTATATGTAATTTATAAATAAACAGTAAGGGGCCAACACTGAACCTTGGGGTACACCACTAACAACCTCAGACCACTCAAGAGTATGAATCATCGATCACCACTCTCTGAATACGGTCTTTAAGCCAGTTTTCTATCCAATTACAGATTGAATACTCTATACCTACTGGCCTTAACTTATACATTAGCCGCATGTAGGGAATTGTGTAAAATGCTTTTGCAAACTCCAAGTATACTATATCCACAGCCTCTGTCCGATTTATTACTCACTTCCTCTTAAAAAGAAAGTACGGTAAGTTTGTTTGACAACGTCTGTCTTTTGTGAAACCATGCTGACCATCGCTTAAGATATTTTCAAGCAAAAACAATTGCATGTGATCCTTGATCGAACTTTCAAGTATCTTCCCAACGATTGAAGTTAAGCTTACAGGTCTGTAATTGCTAGGTATAGAATTTTATCCTTTTTTAAAATATAGGCACCACATTGGCCTTGCACCAATCCATTAGTACCAAGTCAGTCATTAGAGAGTCTCCAAAAATTAGATACAATGAGGTATCCATTAATTAAAGAGTTAAGCTTTTTCAGTGTGTCTGATAGTCTGCAGTTGCTGTCGCTGATTGACAACTGGTACAGATCGGGATCCCGATGTATTTTCCTCATTTTTCTATATTTTATTCATACTAAGTGAGGCGTTAAGCACACATATGCGATATAAATACACTGCTCAAAAAAATTAAAAGGAACACTTTTTTTTGTTATGTATTCATTAAAGATTTTATGATAAACAGTACGTAAAACAATCAAAACAAAAAAATAGAAGAGTTACAATGATAAGAAAACATCATGTCAACAAGGGAACACTTTTTAAGTATAGCGTCAAGTCAATTAAACTCCTTGGATATTGGTCAAGTCAGTTAAGTAGCAGAGGGGGTTGTTAATCAGTTTTAGCTGCTATGGTGGTAATTAAATTAACAACAACAGGTGCACTAGATGGGCACGGGAGATGGGAGATCCATTCGACCTCCAAAACAACAGGAATGGTTTTACAGGTGGAGGCCACTAACATTTTTTTCCCCTACTCATCATTTCAGCCGTTTTTTCACTAGTTTTGCATTTGACTAGAAAACTACAAATGTATGCATTGTAGCAAGTCTAAGATCTATCCCAGGGTGTATTTACTGACATGAAATTGTCTTACCTTGCACCAGGCAAAGTATACATTCCACATTCAATGGTAGACGTTGCATAACATGCATTTCCTAGCTTTTAGGAGTGTACGAATGACCAGGTCAGAAAACCCCCTATATCTTAGGATCTGGGCTTCAACATCCATGCCATCAAAGCCTGCGACCGTGCAGCAGGGTGGTTAATCAGCCCTTGGGACAGAAGATAAAGAAAATCTAAAACAGTGGTCTCAAAGTACCGGCCCGCGAGCCGGTACTATGTGGCCCGCAGCCAGCTCAGAAGTCAGGTACGCGGTCACGGACCGCGTACCTGACTTGCGGGAGCAGCTACACGGTCTGCATCTCTGTCGGATGCAGACCGTGTAGCAGATTCTGTGCCGGCACTCTGATCCTTTCGACCAGCTCTCTTTAAGTGAACGCTGGCCGAAAGGATTGATTAGTAAGGTCTGCCGCAGACCTTACCAATCAACCACTGGATCACCAGGGATCGATGTGCCGCCTCACAGCATCCTCCCTGCAAAAAAGGTAAGCAGGAGAGGGGGCTCTGTAGTTTATTATACGCACACACACAGTATAATATATATATATATCTATCTATTAGTATTACACTTATTTTTTCAGTGTATGGGGGGGGTGTATTATTTTATATGTACAGGGGTTGTATTTTTTTTAATCGATACTAAATAAATCTGCGCTAGTTAGGAGACATGTGGGCTAGAAAGGATCAACAGTTAAAAGCCGCCAGACAAAAGGTTAATGAAATCTCACTATATAATTGCGCAGCGCTATATAACCTCCCCGTGACAGAATAAATTAATATCAGTGTTATACAATTATAACAATAATAAATCAGTCCGTGTTCGATGGGTAGATCATCTAATGATGTTGAAAACGTTTTTTTATGTGTAAACTATCCCCAGTACAAAACCAATGTGGACGGTGGTCAAAGATGGAATGTGAAGTTCAACCTAAAAGGTGCCCATACACTGTACGATTCTCGTACGAGAATCTCGGAAAAAATCCCGCGATCGTACAGTGTATGGAAGGCGTGCGACCGTTTCTACTGTACGGTCGCACGTCTTCCATCGAACAAGCAGGCTGGAAAAACCGCCTGGAATCGTACGATTCTCGGCGAGTGAGTGGCCTGCTTGTTCGACAACTGACGAACGGGCCGGTGTGCGCACGCGCACTCTGCCCGTTTGCCGTCCTTGCAAGCCCGCCCCTCATTACAGTCATCGCAAGCCCGCCCCTCAAGGGGGCAGGCTTGCGATGATTGCAAGTACGATCTGCCTGTCCAAGATGGGCAGATCGTACGTTTTTTAAAGTATTTTACAACCATCGCAAGAATGGTTGTAAAGTTTATGGCCACCTTTAGACAGAATCTTTTCTGCTTCTCTTTCTACGGTGAGACTGGCCATGCAGTCCACCATTGAAGGGAAAGACAAAGCACTCAGGGCTCCATGTTAAAAGGGAGAAGAGCTTCTGCTGGTGACCCAGTTCCCTGCACTGACAGGGTGTCCAGGATGCCTCCCCAGTGGGTCAGGCTGGCATCGGCCATTAGCATCATCCAGGATAGTGAGAACCCCCCCCCCCCCCAAACTTCTAATATCTGGGTTGCTACCAAGGTCAGAGACATCCTGGTCTTGTGTCAGGTGCATTGGTAGGCCCAGTGACTGTACCTTGTCCCATGCAGTTAGAATATTGAGTTGCAATGATCTGGAGTGAAACAAAATCATGCAAAAAGCAGTGTTGAATGGTTCCCAGACTGTAGGCTCAGGATGTGGGAGTAAAGAGTTCTCTGGAAAAATCTCGTCTAAGCTGTATTCAGAATCAGACACAGGTATTTCAAGCAATGAGGCAGTCCCAGTGAAGACTCCTGCAGGTTCAGGATCCAAACAAACCTTCATAAAGTCCGGACAAAGCCAGCATTGTCCAACAAGGCCTGTGGTTAATGTTCTTTCAGTAGGAGATCATCCGAGTATCCCTCTATAGCAATGCCTTGTGAGCATAACAAGGCTAGCACCGGAGCTAGGATCTTGGTGAACAGAATGGGTGCAGAAAACTGAACAAAAGAAGGGCAACAAACTGCTACTGTTGTGTGCCCACAGGAAAAGGCAGGAAGTGTTGATGTTCTGGAAAAAGAGACCTGCAAGCACTTCCAGGAAACACATTCCACTTGAGGAACAGCAATAACTCTTTGACCTAGGAGGTCTGGCACGGCAACATGGAGATCTGTTAGTCTGTGCAGAGAGGTTGGCAGTTTGGACAACAGCCAGTGCGGTGGAGGCAGAGATTGAAACTCTAGCTAGTAGCTTCTAGCCACCACATCTTGCTGCAAAGGCTAACAGGGGGTCTCCTGAATGTGATGTGGACTTGTAGGCAGGCTTGTGAAGACTTGGATGCCCAGGATCACATGGCTAAACTAGGTGCCAGGTTTCGGCCTTGATTTTAGAGGAGGCCTGGGAAGAACTAAAAGGATTTCAGAGGCAGAATGAGAGTAATTTTAACCCAACACCTCTTTTTCTTTTTTATTCGTTTATCTGAACAAGTAGAATATACACGTACTGCATGAAATAATACAGAGAGACATATCACACAATTACACCGTTTACATTCTTGGAGTATTCTAAGAGCTCTGGTTTCCGCATAGAGTCCGTACCTTAAGATCTGGCCCCGATACCCAATATGACAGGTAACTGTGATAATAACAGCAAGATTGGACAGTAAAGTATGTCACGTGGCCGTATCAGGTATATAAAGTAAAGGTGAGTTTGTGTGAACAGCAACAGTGCCGAACCAATTCTTGGTATCTTTGCAAGCATCGTTATAAGAAATATGCAAGAGAAATAGAGAAAAGACAGGGAAGGGCGGAGTCATAGAGGTGCAGTATTCCCTTTCGGAAACAAGATTGTAGTTGTAGAAGAGGACATAAGGAAGGGAGGAGAGGTACCTAGACCACTGCCCCCCCCCCCCCCCCGAGAGAGATCCCTATGGTCTGCTATAGGGAGGCGGCAAGGTATCCTTCACTAAGTCCCTCTAGGTAAGGAGACTATGGGGGGATGGAAGCGGCCAGGGAAGTAAGTGCTCACGCGTCTCTGGACAGGAGAGCTGCGTAGCTATCGGAGTGTTGCTTCTCTGTGTTTCTGAGGTTCCGTGGGTGGCCGTTAGGTCTTCCATGGCATATACTTCTCGCACTTTGGACAGCCATACTGCGATCGATGGGGGGTGAGATTGCTTCCACATCAGAGGGATAGATGCTCTGGCTGCGTCCAACAGATGGCGTGTGAGCGAGTGCCTGTAAGTGGTAAGTGGGGTCGCTGATATGTGTAAGAGGCATGCCGCCAGATTGTTGGTCAGATCCGCCATGGTCAGGTCCTGGACAATGGACAGCACCTGGTCCCAGAAGGGCCTCAACGCTCCGCATGACCAAAATGTATGCAACATTGTACCCGCAGCTGAGCCACAGCGCCAGCACCTGTCGGATATGAGGGGTCTCATTTTATGCAAGAACCAAGGAACCCTGTACCAATGGGACAATATTTTGTAAGCGAGTTCCTGCACTTTGCTGGCCATAGAGGATTTGAATGACATGGTGAGGATGGTGTGGGTCTGTTCTGTGAAGACCATCCCTAATTCTTTCTCCCACCGTTTTACAAAGGACGGGACCGTATCAGTAGGAGGTGTGTTTATCAAGTTATAAATGGTGGAAATGGCATGCCGTGAGGGTAGGGAGCCTGTGCACATCACTTCGTATACCGTGAGGTGTCTGTCCAACTCCTGGGGATTTGGGATTGCCCTAAGAAAGTGCCGAAGCTGCATGGCGCTCCAGGGGTCAAGTGGGTGGTCAATTAGGTGTTGTAGGGCTTGATTAGTCAGCCAGTCAGAGTTAGCTCGGAAGTCCGTTACTCTATATTTGTCCGCTGTGACAAGGCGTGCGAGTCGAGCATTTTCCGCAGCTGGGGTGAAGTCAGGATCCCCCATGACAGGTGTCAATGGTGAGGGAGCAGGGGCCAGCGTCGTGTTGCGCAGTACCGTGTGAGCGGTGCGAATGGTGGAGGCGATCAACGGATGTTCCCGAACCGTGGACGGTAGTGGGGAGGAAAGCCACGGTAGCCCTTCTATTGGGAGCCGGTGTGTGGCCCTCTCGATTGAGACCCATATCTTGTGATCGCGGTGGACGTGCCAGTCCAGGATCCTGTTAAGGTGTACCGCTTTATAGTAAGAGTGGAAGTCAGGCAATCCTACCCCTCCCCTGCCCTGTGGAAGGCTTAGGGGTTTCCTACTCAGTCTCGGATGGGATCCAGCCCAAACAAAAAGGACATTACCGCCCTCTGAAGGCGCTGAAAAAAGCTGGGTGGGAGATAGATCGGTAGGGGCTGAAACAGGTACAGAACCTGGGGGAATACGTTCATCTTGATGGCTGCACATCTACCAAACCACGAGAGGAGTGCAGACCATTGTTTGAGATCTGTGAGGAGTTCTGTGAGCAATGGGGCAAAGTTGGCCGAGTATAGGTCGTGAACATCTGCAGTGATTTTGGTCCCCAAGTATTTGAGGTGATCGTTAACCCACATAAACGGAAAGTCTGCTCTAAGGTGTGAAAGTATCTGGGTCGGTAGAGTAATATTCAAAGCTGAGGATTTCGAGACATTCACTTTAAAATCAGAGAGCTTCTCGTATTCGTCTAGAGCCCATAGAAGGTGAGGAGTGGAGCCCATCGGGTCCGCAAGGAAAAAAATTAAGTCGTCCGCGTATGCCGGTGTGCGAAAGCCCTGTATATTGGATGATTTCCGAACCGTGCCCAGGACCGGTTCCAGAATAAGAGCGAAGATTAGGGTCGAGAACGGGCAGCCCTGTCGGGTGCTATTAGATAGTAAGAAATCTGTCCATCTTGTTTCATTCACCCGTACGGCCGCAGATGGTGACGAATAGAGGGCAGATATCCATTTAAGCATATTGGTACCCAGACCCATATGTTGCAAAACTGCTTGCATAAATCCCCAACTGACCCTATAAAACGCTTTCTCAGCGTCTGTGGAAAGCAGTACTAAAAAAAGGTGCCCTACGCGAGTTAGCTAGGTGAATGACATTTAGGACCCTGGATGTGTTGTCCCTCGCTTCTCTAGCCGGGATAAAGCCCACTTGGTCTTGATGGATAAGTTGGGGCATATAGGGGAACAACCGGTTAGCTATGATTGTAGAGAAAAATTTTAGGTCTACGTTCAGCAACGCAATCGGGCGATAGTTGCCACAGATCATGGGGTCACGGTCCCCCGTAGGTATAAGGGTGATCCATGCTCGTTAACAGGTCATTAGGGATCGGGGAGTCTTGCAAGATTGAATTATATGCCGCGAGGAAGGGAGTAGAGAGTTGGGAATTAAATAGCTTGTAATAAGCGGCCGTGAAACCGTCGGGGCCCGGGGCTTTTCCTGGTTTAGTGGCTTTAATCGCGAGTTCTAGTTCCGACAATGAAATAGGGCCTCCATCAAGTCCCTGTCCTTGTGAGATAGAACAGGCATATCAGAACTACCAACATATGATCGGTCCTCAGGGGTGGGAATGGTATGAGCCTGTCCCGTCCCTGGGGGATGCAAGTTATAGAGACTACCATAGAAGGCCCTAAATTCTTCCACTATCTCTGCAGAAGATGTCACGGTCTATCCAGTACGTGTCACAATTTGGGAGAGTCCTGCCTCGCGCACCCCTCAGAGCCCTTGCTAGCATCCTCCAGGGTTTGTTAGAAAACTCGTAGAACATTCTTCTACCATTCAGCATGCGTCTTTTGACTTTAGTGAACAGTTCGTTTATTTCCACTCTGACCGCCCGGAGCTCAGCCTGACCTGCAAGGGCCAATGACCGATTTATGTGCGGATAATAGAGAACGGAGACGGCTAAACAGGTGCGCTAGGCGTTTTGCCCCCTCACGTTTCTTGCGGGCCCCATGTTTCACGAGAATGCCTCTAACGACACACTTGTGGGCCTTCCAGGTGACCAGAGGTAAGGGGGAGGAGGGAATGTTGCTAGAAAAGAAGGACAGTTCAGCCTCCAGTTCAGTCGTGACTTGGATATCTTGCAGGAACGATTCGTTTAGACGCCACATATAGAAAGGAGAAACGGGTGCTGTCAAGGATAGAGACATGTGTATGGGGGCATGGTCAGATAGAATAATATTGTCAATTGCAGCCGAGCGCACGTGGGGGAGTACCTTACATCTGCTCGGCGAGGTGCCGAACGAAAGCCATAGCCTCCACTCCGCCCGAGCCAATCCGCGCCCGTGACCCATGACCACTGTACATGAAGGAGTCATACCCCCCACCAGCGTGATATGGACCCCCTCAGGGTAACATCAGTATATGCAATAAAACAACTTGAAATCATACAAACCTAGCCACTAAAAACAGCAACCCAGGCTACTGTGAAACTGCACAAATCATTGACAAGAAAATACAGTTTAAAGGGTAACGTGTAAACCCGCTGCCTCATCGTGTGCAACCCTCGCAACGTGCAGGAGGGGTAAACGAAATACCTGAAAGTGCGTGAGGCTTGGTCATGGTATGTCATGGTAGAGTGGCAGTTCTCTGAGCCAGAATACGCTGCCGTTAGCAACAGACCTCAAGGTTCAGTACACGTACGGCGTCTGCTCCTGGAAGGGCGAGCTGCTCGTCGGCTACGGGGAGCCGCGTCCACGGTACCTGTAGGAAAGTCCAGCCAGTCCGGGAGGTCAATCGGAGCTACTTCTAGCCAGCGGAAAAGGTCAGGCACTTGAGATGGAGAATGAAGTGCAAAGGTGCGATCCTGGTGTTGTATGAGAACGTGGAACGGGTGCCCCCATCTGTATGTGACTCCTGCGGTCCAGAGCACATCTAGCAGTGGTTTCAGCATTCTGTGCATCCTCAGAGTGTCACGGGAAAGGTCTGGCATGACCTTAATAGCAGCTCCATCAAAGTCAAGGGAACCTTTAATCCATGCTTTCCTCATAATCTCCTCCTTGATTGCAAAGAAGTGGACTCTGCAAAGCACGTCCCTG